TGGTGGTGGTGGTGGTGGTGGTTGATTTCATAAAAAAATTAAAATTTTTAAATAATTTATTGGGGACTTGTTTGCACTACCAAAACATGTACCAACATCAGGTTGAATATAAAACCAACATGTACCAACATTTCCATTTTAGATACTCTGCAATGTGGGAACCAACCTACCCATCCCTTCAACTTCGATTTCAAGACTGTTCAAATACTAGACTAACAAGAAGATGCAACTCCCTGGCTTCACCAAATTTGATCACTCATATGGATCCCCTCCCCAAAAGTCCTCAAGAGACTTTCTTTTATTTTTAAAGCGTGTCAAACCTCTGCTTTCGTATTCTCCACCTGCTTCATCATCTATTTATCTATTAAAATGTATGCCTTCAAACAACTAAGATTTGAAGTTCCTATTAAGGGGAAATTTTATGTTCAAATACGTATTTTCCATCAGGTAGCAGAAAAGATTCTTAACAACAAGAAGTTGAAATTCTATAAATGGGATGGAAACTTATCCGAACTGTTGCAGAATGTTTGGGAGAAGTTGATCCGGGTTGCTGAAATTACTTCTTTAATGCCCCTTTTTTTGAATTTATTGCGTAATCTTTAATCTATTTTAACTAACCTCTTATCTAATATATATAATACTTAGATGTGGGAATTTTGGTCAGATGTGGACGAAGGGGAAGAAGAATTATTGTCTGGAAGAAATTAAGAAACCATTCAAGTTTTTTGGGAATATCCTTCGATTGATATTGTCACGATGCACGAANGGAAGAAATTAAGAAACCATTCAAGTTTGTTGGGAATATCCTTCGATTGATATTGTCACGATTCACGAAGCTGCACTTTACTTGTGCAAAAATTTCTCTTTGGGAGTTGTCTGAAACAGACTACTGATTTGGTTTTTGATAGGCTTAGAACGTAATTATTACGTACTTAAATGATTTAATTAGTTATTAGGGTATTAATCAAATTAGCTAATTTTTTAAAGTATTTGACCTAATTTTCCCTTTCATGCATTAATTGCTGCACGGGCTGCAAGTTTTGATTGGACCTTTATCTGATTTGCCCTGGCTTGGTGTTATTCTAAGGGGTTTCATGAAAGAAAAGTTTGATTTTGGGCCTCAGAGGAGTCCTTCCCACGGATCTCAACTTTAGCTATCCTACACTTGGGCTTTTGGGCCCTTTGGCTCTTAGCCGTATTTTTGAATGAAATTAGATGTTTTTTTTAGGGAAAATTAGGCTCTGTACGCTTTTTTTTTTAATTATTTTGATTAATACACTTAAATTAATTAAACATTTTTAAGTAAGTAATAAATATGGCCTCCTAAATTTTAACCAAAACCTAACCCAGTTATCTACAACAAAGCCCAAACCTACCCCCATATTCCTCATTCATTGATGTAGCCTCTTCAGGCGAAATCCACCGTGCGCACTTCCTTCTCCGACCAAAATCCTACTTTAAATCTCCATTTTGACCCATTTTCCGTCGATTCCTTCTTCATCTTCCCTTCGTATTCCGTTCGGCTTCTTTATCTATTTTTCATTTCGGCTCTAAACCTCAAATAGCGTAAACCCTATATCCAAAATCCAAAAATCTGATTTTGATTCCGATTATTGACTCATATTTTTGCAATAGCTGAAAAAAGTGGCTCGAAGAGACAAAGAAATATTGAAGAAGAACCATCGACTAAGAAGAGGAATAAAATTTCTTCGTACTCTTATAAATCTAAGGTAGCAAAATTTTGGTGAACAATTTTCTTGGTGTTTAGGTTTCAAAATCTATGTTTTTTTGATGAATCTACAGGTTCTAAGTTGGTTATTGCTTAATGGTGCTAGTTTTGTTCTGGATGCATATATATATATGGATTCCCTCCAAATGTTATAATTTAGACTTTCTTTAGCAGTTTTGCATCAGTGTAGATCGTAAAACTAAGTTATCGTTTTTAGAAAACCTCAAATGCTTCTGCTTAAAAAATGAAAAATGTCTATGGTAATAATTTCAAACTCTTCCCCACCATTAATATTGTACCTATGCTGTGAATATTAGTTATACTGTCTTGATTTTTGTCTTTTAAAATAGTAATAGCTTCTGCAGAATTAAATTTGAAGTTTTGTTTGATAAAAATAGACAGATCATTGAACATTGTCATTTTTTAAATTGGTAATAGGTTCTGCAGAAGGTATTCAAGAGTCTTCACTGATGTTTGTCACTTTTTTGTATGTTTGTCACTTTTTTTTATTCCGTGTCACTTTCCATAAGCATTTATTTGTTAATCTTTAATTTGTGCCACGTTTTGATTGTTGAATTCTTTAATTTTTTGGTGGTGATAGTGTGAAATGTAAGCAAAAGTCTCAATTCTTGTATTTGTTTTGACAAGTTACAAGCGTGTATGTTATAGACTGTCATAATGCATGTTATTGTTGTTGAATTTCATTTTAATTGTATCTTTTTTTCTTTTTGTAGGATTGAAATTTATTAATCCCTCAATGTTGGTTCAAAGGAAAAGTCACATTATTATCTCCACACATGGCGATAAAAGACTTAAATGAAAATTTTAGTCCATATCAGAGGACTTTATTTAAGAATATGCATGCTTTGGTGCCTTCATTAATTTGAAGGAAATATGATACAGATAATGAATGTGTGTCAAAGGAGATGAATTAGTTATATGGTCATGTGGTAGAGAAGAAGATGATTCTAAAGAAGTGAATACATGTCTTGTTATGTAATGATTGATTTAGTTGTTAAAATACATAAGTTGGTTGGTAATTTTAGTCTTGTATGTAATGACCGATTTAACAAAAAGTGACAATGTTAACAGTGGTAGCACTGCATCAATTNTTCTCATTCTCATTCTCATTTTTTTTCTCTTTCTTCATTTCAACCACACATTCTATCAATAAAATAATATTACACATAAACCTAAAAATTCTCCTTACTTTTTAACCACACATTCTTCCATCAATCACTATTCAAAAACACATTCTTTCACAAAAATGGGTGTCAAACACCCCCTTAAGTATAGTTTCTAAAGATGTGTTTTTGTGAAGTTTTGAACATATTTTCTCTACAATTTCATTGGAGCAGGGATATTATTGATGTAGCTAATCAATATTAGTACTAGTGTTCAAGAATTGTAATATATTACCTAACTATAACATATTTGCAGGTTTTAACATGTTAGATTCTTGTATATTAAAAAAAGTGACATAATGTCACATTTTTAACGAAAAAGTGACAAGTCGTTTGTTATTTTGTGTTCATGCTGCAAGGCTTAACGGAGGATGCTAGAACCTAGTTGATTTATTAAATAACTGTGGATCCAATGTCAATAGAGTATGATATCCATTGTCACATACTCACAACAAATCATTTTTTTAACAAAGTTGTATACATCAAAATACATCATTACTGGTGTTGTACTATTGGATGTTGCTATTTTGGTATTTGTTACTTTTTTTTTTGAATTTGTCATTTTTTTGAGTTAGTCACTTTTTTTTAATTTTTTTTTAAAAAGTGACAATTTTTATAAAAAAAAAAAGTGACATTGTGTCACTTTTTTATTTTATAAAGTATTTTTTACTTCTTAAAATTTTTTCATATGATTTTTCAAAACATTCCTAATTTTAACTGTATTTTTATAAGTACCCCAATCCAAGTCCAAAGGGCAAACTGGTTAAAAAGAAGTTGGTCTCTTCTACTTTACTTTTAAACCCTAAAGCCCAACTCGCCTCCTCCACCTCCACCCCCACTCTTCTGCTATTATTCGTCAGAAAACCAGAAAAAAAAAAACGGAAGAAGCATGAGACCTCCTAGGGGACGCGGTGGATTCAGGGGCGGGAGAGACGGTGGTGGCCGTGGCGGTAGAGGCGGAGGACGCTTCCCTGCTCGCGATGAAGGTCCGCCTGATGAAGTCATAGGTACTTTCCTTCTCTCTCTCTATAAGCAGATATACAAAAGTTTATAAATATAATTTTTGTTTTATATTTTACTTGTGCAGAGGTTTCATCATTTGTTCATGCTTGTGAGGGAGATGCTGTGATGAAGCTCACAAATGAAAAAATACCATACTTTAACGCACCAATTTACCTTCAGAACAAGACACAGATCGGTAAAGTTGATGAAATATTTGGCCCCATTAATGAATCTGTGAGTCTGCCCATTTCAAATTTTCCTGGATTTTTTTTTGTAAGTGTAAGGTTTATTTTTTATCCATTTCTTATTATTTTGGTGGCTCTGTTACAGTATTTTTCGATTAAAATGATGGAGGGAATTGTGGCCACCTCGTACCCGGCGGGCGAGAAGTTCTACATTGACCCGGCTAAGCTTTTGCCGCTTTCAAGATTTCTTCCGCAGCCAAAGTATGTCCTTATATCACTTCTTTTAATGCAATTTTTATTCTAAACAGCTTTTACATGTTAATATGGTCCTTATCTTATCTCGCGAAGGTTAAGATTTTGATTTGCTTTGTGTTACACATTATGCCCTTTAATTGTTGTCCATTAGAGAGTATAACCTTCAACCTTAAACACTAAAAACTTGTTGGTTGTAATGTTGAATCCATACCAAACATGTCCTTAATCTTGCAACGCATTGGAGAAATATCAACATTGGAAATGCGATTGCTTTTTGAGGTGGACTCGATCATACAATGAAAAGTTTGGGTATTTTAGACTTCATTAGTGATGTTAAAAATTTCGTGGATGATAGAGACATTGACATTTCCAGATTTCCTGTTCCAGATCCTTGAAAGAAAGCGACAATAGAATAGGTTACAAATTTATTTCCAATGATGTTACTTAATTTTTGGGGTTCTGAATTAGTCGTATCACGGATATACAACAAAACCATAGCGGAAGTCTACTGGAGGTTCCAGTTGCAAAAAAACAGTATTATACTTTCAACTGTTTTAGTTCAAACAATCTTTTTACTCCTTAACATAGTCATTATTTACTGATATTCTATTGTGTTAGATATTTTTCATCATTTTGCATGTATTATCTTTTGTTTTGCGAATGTTTTGCCGCTCCGACTAGTGTTTGCCGCTACGCAACGGGGATCGACCTGCCTGGTCAGGTCGCGGGGGTCGAGGGGGCAACGCCCCCGAAAGAGAATTTTATTTTCAGAAGTTTTTGAATAGGTATGTTTCTTCCAACAGATGCGTCCATTCATTTCAAGGGACACACCTATTCAAAAGGTTGCCTCCATTTCTATATATTTTGGGCGAATTCTCATTTGCGAGATACTTTTAAAAAAAATTTCTATTCTTCTATCTTTCTCTTGGCATCATCAGTTTCTCTATAGAGTGTTTCTTGGTTTGATCAAATAGTCACAATTTGAATCAAACGCCTCCATTGTATCCTGAGAGAGATTTTCTATCATACCCCGGTCGTGACTTTTTTGGAAAGGGGAGAAACATCTCTTAAAAGATAACGATTTTCGTGCCTTGGAGTTATTTATTGTTCCAGATTTCCTACATATTTCCCAACATATTGCAAGCTCCATGCCCATTCTTTCTTCCACACCATTCTCTAGTGAATTGGGCACAGAGAACGATATCGGATATTTCATAATGTGCTGATTTCTACAGCCTATATGCATCTAATTGCCCATGTATTTTTGCAAAGGCATTAATATTTTTTTTGACTATCTTCTAGCCACACCTATTACCCTTGATCACTAGCCTAGTATATTAATTCTAGGATGCTCTGTTCTTTGCCATATATTTATTCATTTGACCTATTTTTCGATGTTTATTTGGTTATTTGTCAGGAGTTATATTCATCAACATATGTTGGCCTACTTGATTAGTATTGGAAACTGAATTTTGATTGTTGCATTTTTTATTTTTTATTTTGCAGAGGACAAGCGCAAACTGGTGGTAGATGGGGAGGACGTGGAGGAGGAAGAGGTGGTGGGAGAGGTGGACGTGGAGGTGGCGGTGGCTTTCGCGGAAGGGGTGCTCCGAGGGGAAGAGGTGGTCCTCGAGGCGGTGGTCGTGGTGGAGGTTTCAGGGGCAGAGGGAGATCATAAAATGTCTGTATTTGTGCTTTCCGAATCAAACAGAACAAAAAAATCGGATTTTTGTTTTAATGGAGTTTTGTTATTTTCAATTGGGCTGCGGTAAAATTATCCTACTCTAGTTCGGATTTTATTGCATTATTATATAAATTTGCTAAATTACTTCATGTCCTATAGCAAATTCAGTGTGCTGAAATATGATTCTTGAAATTCTGTGATAATTTGATCGGATTTCTTCTATCTTCTTTTGACAAATTGAATATTACCTATGTTTTAAAAATCCATTGACCCGGAAAAGAGGAAGGGTCAAATGGTCGAATTGGGGTAGGATAGGAATAAATAAATAAATTTTATATCACAAAATTGACAAAATTAAGTTAATTTTTCAACTTAATTAATGAACATACATAGACAAAAGGACCAACTAATGATTAAGTTTGGGTATAATTAATATTTGTTTGTCTTTAAAAGAAAGATCATGTGATTGAAAATGAAAAAAATAATTTTGAAGAGATAAATAATTTACATTTTTTTTCTTTTATAATAAAACTACTAATTTTTAATTTATTCAATTTTTATAATAGAAATATTAGTTACAAGAGTGGACTGTACAAACTTTACGTTTCTAAATCCCACATCGGAATCTGATTATAAAAGTTTTGATGATATATGCGATAAATGTATGAGCAAAGTAGTTTTTGGGGTTTCATCGGTTGGTCCGGATCTGTTCAACTTTGATAATATTCCCCGAAAAGGCAATGGGAATTCTGCCAGCATGCACAATAATCAGTTATCAAACACGGATGGTGTAAGGTAAGGTGGACAAGACGAAGGCAAGGCTCGACCAAGACCCTCTTCGACATAGATGATAAACTTGTTGAAGTCGATCATTGTTCAGTATGATATTATTGTTTAGTTGTTTGGGAAATATAAGATTGGTTTTGAACTGTGTATGCATGCTTGGTAGATGGATAGAAAGCTCAAAATTTATAAATATATTTGAAGCGCACTTAAAATGTTTTTGGTTCAGAGTCGAAAATATAGGAAATTTGTAGTTGGTCTTTACGTTGAAGCGTGATTGACTAACAAATACATCAAAGTTTAATCAGCAAGAATTTGTCAACAATCCCAGATACAACAGAGCAAACCTTTTTAAATACCCTTTTCCAAGATGTTGTGCTACATGTACATAGTAACTTACATAATGGCTTACCAAACAGAGGATGCTGCAAAATTTAATTAGATCAAAATCTCAAAAATCAAATAATTTCATCACTTACATTTTGACACCTCCTTATTATGTAAACATTATATAAATGCTTAGAGTAATGCCACATTTACCAATTTATGCGGCGTTAATGTAGCATTAAATGATAAGTACAATTAAATGAGCCATTTAATTCTACATTTCATTTAATTTATTATCTAACATCACTTAAATGAGTCATTTAATTCCGCATTTCATTTAGTTTATTATCTACCATCAAGTAGATTGGAATTATAACTCAACTGGGGGCTAAATAATATTGTTCCAAAGTTATGTACAAGAAGCATTTTCCTCCTCCAAATGATAGAAAGATACGAGTTATCCTTGTAAACAACAAAATAATTAATATGCGGGATTATGTCACTTTGTCAAAAGGATTTTGATACATGTAGTTACAGTGTAGGTGACAACAGATTATTGAATGGAAAAAGTTGATTGTATTTTAAGCAGTTCAATAATATGTCACCTTTTTGACATGAGCAATGCTACTGGTACATATGCGTGTACATAAACGCGTACATAATGTGAGTGGAGGTGGGGCCTACGCTACAGTGTCGTGGGCTCCACCACACTCACATTATGTACACGCTTATGTACACACCTATGTATAAGTAGATTAATCCTTTTGACATTATAGCATGATTGTACACGCGCAACCACATATTTTGGTCAATGGTGAGAAGCAACATCATAGCAGATTTGACCATGCTGGAGATATAATCAGACTTTTCTGGGTTATAATATTTCTCAAGTCTTGTAAAAATATTACTCAAAACACTTAGAAGAAATGTCAACTATTTGTTAACGAAACAAATATTTAAATATTTTTGATTTCATCAATGAAAGTAAATGCAAGAGCTAAATTTTATTTCCTACAAGGGAAAATTATTAATTAATTTAATATTTTTTTTCTTTATTTACAAGTAAATATAAATAAATATTTTGACATTAAGGAGATATAATGCTATATTGACTAATATTTAAACATTTTAAAATACCAATAAAATTACTCACATATAATATCACATAATAAATTAGTCGATTCATATAAAATAATGAATGACAATGTCATTCATAATAAAAACTATCGATGATCGTCCTAAGAGATACACATAGCAGCTTGTTATTTGATGCATTAATGTTGTAACATCATGCATCAAATAACAAACTGTCATATGCATGTCACGTAAATTGACTATCAATAGTCTTCACTGTGAATATCATTATTCTTTAGTGATTTGCCATTCACACACAAAATTGCCATAAAGTCAATTTTATTTAAACACAGATCTCTACATAAGTATAAAGCTACTATCACATATGGATAATAATTCCAAGCTAAGTGAAAAGGCTTCTAAAATTCCATATTATAAGATTCTAGGATTGCTCAACCAACAATCGAAATTGCGAAATTCATAGGCTGAAAATAAAAATAGAAACAAAACTCTCTTGAACATAAGAATAACAAGAAAACCAGTGGGCTTTTTGTGAGAGCCATAATCTTTTATTAATATAATGACAATGAAACATCTAATAAGCTTCTCAGGCTTCCCATCCTCTGAGAAGTGTTGCCCTAGCAACTCGATTAACGCCTAAGCTGAAGGCTCCCATTCGAAGATCGCAATTATGAGTCTTGCACATCTCTTTTACATCTTTGAAACCCTTTGTCATGTATGTCTTCAGCTCTGCATTCACTTTATCCTCCTCCCACATGAATCCTTGAATGTTCTGAAATGCAACGTGTTGCAATGTTAAATCAGTAGAAGAAAAAAACTAACGGAAATTGGAGAAAAGATGAAAATATACCTGAACCCACTCGAAGTAACTGACAGTAACACCACCTGAATTTGCGTATATGTCTGGAAGAACGACAACTCCCTTCTTTGACAAAATCTGTGGAGGAAAACAATAGTTATTATGCTGCCGGCTGCTCTTATTTTATGCTGTAGTCTAATTCCTAAAGACTTGATCAGTGTAACTAACCTCATCGGCCTCAGGATCAGTTGGATGATTAGCTGCTTCGATAATAAATTTTGCTTTGATATCTTTTGCATTATCCCTTCAATAAAATAGGAAAATCTTTCACTATATAGGAAAATTACAAACACAACATTAGGGAGATCTTGATGAACAACAAACTGATACACTGAAGACTCATAAAAAAAACCTGTTGATCACGCCTCCAAGAGCTGCTGGGATAAGAATGTCACAATCCTCCACCAATATTGAACTAGGATCGATAGAATCCCCGCCACTGAATCCTTTTATTCCACGACTTTCTTTGACATGATTGAGTAGGCTTGGTATGTCAATTCCACTGCTGTTCTTTATAGCTCCTGTAATATCGCTTACTGCGACTATCTTCCCCCCCTGCTCACTGAGGAGTTGAGCAGCCCAAGAACCAACATTTCCAAACCCCTGAGACAAAAAAGAATGTCAAAATGGGCTTAATAAATAATTGGTGTCTTTTTCTATCCAATCACTTCCCCAGGAAATATATTTGCATCAAGATTCATCAAATTTTATTTCATTTCAACTTTAGCCTAATTAAAATATGTGTTAAGGATGAACTAACTTCGGTACCTGCACAACAATACGTTGACCAGCAATGCTCTTCCCATACTCTTTAAGCAGGGCCTCAGTTGCAAAGAGGACACCTCTTCCTGTAGCTGCATCTCTTCCAAGAGATCCACCAAGATCCTAAAAATAAGAAATTTGGATCTTTCAAGTTACATAAATGGAGAAATTTCAGAAGAAAAAAGCAGGTTTTCAAATACTATAAGAGAGCATATTGCATCGTCAGATAACATTAGAAGTGAAAAAAATAACCATGAACCTGACTGAAGTATCATTTGAGAGCTTTTCGCAGACTTACAGTAGGTTTTCCAGTTACTACTGCAGGGGAATACCCATGAAATTTTGAATACTCATCTAAGATCCAAGCCATTGTCTGTTCAACCGCACAGCAAAGATTGACAATAAATTCAGATACATGTCACTGAGTTAATTGAAAATCAGACGGTAAGGTTGAGATATATGTTACACGGACCTGTGGATTTGTTCCCATATCAGGCGCTGGAACATCTGTGTGGACTCCAACCAGATCATGTATCTTTTGTGTGAAAACTCTAGTAAGTCTTTCTAGCTCAGAGATGCTCAAATCCCCTGGATTACATCCTATCCCTCCCTTGGCTCCACCATATGGTATGTTAGCTACTGCAGTCTTCCATGTCATGAGTTGCGCCAAAGCATTCACCTCATCTGGGTCTACCTACATTATCCATATACAATTTTGATTATAAAGAAAGGGGAAAAAAAGTCTAGAGACTGGATCTACCTACACAATACAATCATCAAGATTAGGAAGAAATATAAAAATTTACATCTGGAGGAGCTTATTTTTGCAATTTAATATGAAAAAGAAAAAAAACAGAATCTACTTGGCAACTGGTCTGCTAAATTCAGAGAGCAGAACCATAATGGTTGCATCTCTAAATCAATTCATAGTTAATCCAGTTTAAAGTGTTCAGCCATCTAAACTTTAACGAACCTCGGGATGGTATCTTATTCCTCCTTTCATTGGACCTCTCGCATTGTCATGCTGAACCCTGAACCCCACAAATGATGCCAAGGTGCCATCATCTTTCGGTATGGTACATTCAACCTGTGATTTTGACCAGAGCAGGCAAGGAACACAATTAAACAAAAGGAAGTAAGTATTGTCAAAACGAAAGCACCCTAATCA